CCACACCCCCAAGTGGCGGCACACCACCAAGTGGTGGGGGCGTCAAATCCTGGATAAAAAAACTCGGGGAGGCCCTGGCTAAACTGGCTGGTAAGGCCGCCGAAGCCCTGCCCGGCATCCTGGGTAGCATCGCCTCGTGGTTGCTGGGTGCTTTAGCTAAAACTGCCACGTGGCTTAGTCAAAACCTGTGGGCAGCCATCGTCGCCGTGGCGGGTTTGGTGTACGTAGCGGCTAAGGAATTTTAACCAAATAAGTCCCAAAGCTACCCCACCAACCACCATAGCTGTTTTACGATCGATGTGCTGCTGATTGGACGCTGCATGCTGGGGCTGTGGGTGTGTTGGTTGAACCCTAGGCTCCGGGGGTGGCGCCACTATACCCGTTTCACCGGTCGTGGGTGGTGGGACGTGGGGGACGTTGACATCGAGGTTGACGCCCAACTTTTGGTCTGCCGTGGCTATGACTATTTCGTTGTTGTAGCCCACCACTTTTTTTACTCTCAGTTGCATATCACTAGGAGCCATGTACAGCCCCACGTCGAACACGTAGTCGACTTTCGACCTGGCGTATTCCAACACGTTTTGGTAGCGTTTGATGGCACTCAGTAGATCAACTGGAGCATTGATAGCATCCTCAACGTTAACAACGAACTGTTTCTGAGCGTCGTAAGCCAAGGATGTCGGAACGCGTCTGCATCTGCGCACCCAACAGCGCCCACACGTACGTTCGAATCGAGTCGTTCAACCTGATTACACCGGCACGAGTAAACCCTTTCGACGTATCCAGCATGAACTTTTTCCAGTCATCCGCTGCCCCTTGCTCGAAACCTCCAGACCCGGTAATCCTTGCTGTTGTCGAAAGCCATGTAACGATCATCCCACTCGTTGGTTGTTAGGTGATGATACGACTTGTATCCCCATTCTTTCAACTTCTCGCTGGCATCCACGAGGTGCATATTGTGAACGATGGGGATACCCAACCCGTGGTTCGGGCCCGGCAAACGCCAATCCGTCTTCGGGTTTAGTTCGAATTCGTTGCAAATACGTTCGTAGGCCCGTCTATCGTACTGGTTGTTTATTGCGTTCCACGCCTTGTCCTGTGGGAGCGGGGCGCTGATCTCTTTAAGGATACGCCTGACCTGGTAGTACACGTGGAACGTGAACACAGACTGACTCAGCGGTCCACGCCGAGTGTCGGTTAATGTCACACCACACCCCGTTGTAGCATACCACACGGTGAAGTTGAGTTGATTCTGCCAGAACTGCATCGGGTTGTTGAACCAAGCATGAACTACCTTAGCGTTAGTCACCGAAAATTTATACAGGCTGAACACATCTAAAAGCTGGGCGTTGAAATACATCCCATCAGCAACCGCGATCTTCATGGGTGAGAAATCTATGTCCAGTTTAGGGTAAAACACTCCAGGGAAGTACATTTTAAAACTATTATATAATGAGCATATATACTCTAACATGTACATAACACTTCCAGGAATAACGAGCGGTGAGGCCATTCAGCTGGCTGACGCGATAGCGATCAATAATACGTCGGGTCACCTCGAAGTCGCACTCTGCGATATCACCTACCTACCGCAATGGGCTAACATCAATACCAGCAACAATAAGCTGTTCGTCAGTGGAGCTCGCAGCCAGATAACTGACGGCTACTACAGCGTGTGGTCGCTAAGAGACAAGGTCTTCAAACCCCTGGGAGCCGAACTCAAGATGAACGACTCAAACGGTACAGTGGTGTTAATCAACAACGGAAGAAACTCCTTGAGACTCGGCCGGCCATTAGCGAGGACACTCGGTATGTCGCCTGACGAGATAAAACCAACAACTACCGTCACAGGCACGAAGTTACCCGACCTAGTACCGTACCGAGAGCTGTACATTCATCTTGGCCAGGTGAGCACAACGTACAACATTCAAGGGGGTCACCCTTCCACTATACTGAGAGCAGTGCCGGTTAAAATGGAGAAATACAATGACGGTAGAACCGAGTCGTTTTCACCGCGGCAGTATAAGAGGTTAACCCAGGGCAACATCCCTGAGCTGATAATATCGGTGTTAGATATAAATCATAATCCCGTGAATATAGGATACCTCAGCTTAACGCTTCACATAAAATGACCAGCGCACAAGGGCCCGGGGTGAAAAAATGCGTCAATGTGGGGATCTCCGACCTCGGGGACACCGCGGCGGATTCGACGCTCCGAGTACATGGTAAATTGTACGCCTTGCAACTGAAAACAACATTTACAAACGCGTTGAAGTCCCTCCGGTGGAGCCCTAGGTGATATAGTAGATACCACAAGAGCGACAGTCAACACTCGGTACACCCTAGTCACCACCGGGGATGATAAATGGATAATATACCCATCGTTCGGTGGCAAACTGTTCGACTTAGACGATGTTGAGAGCACTACCGTCGCCCGAAACAAGCCATATACGCTCGTCTTCACCGAAGATGACAAGTGGGTGTTGTTACCAGATAAAGACGACTGGTTTCTCAATATTAGGCTCGGCTCCCCCTACGTGTTCACAGATAACAAAGACAACCACCTAAACAAAGTCGTTAACAACGGAACCCTGCTCGTGGCTTACGTCCCAACTCAGAGACGTAAGCGTAGCCATCAGCCCAGTCGCCAGTATGGCAGCCCACATGCTATCGAGTAAACCGGGAATGCAAAACGTGACATTGCAGTTGGTGTCTGAATTTGAAGCGTGGTCAGGATACTGGAGAGTCTACCGGCGAACTCAACACTGATCATCAAAGTCTACCTAGGGGAACCATCGGGGAATGAGGTCGACATCGTGAAGGGGGTCAAACTCGGGTGGGTGAAACGACACCAGTATCACGTTTGCACAGTTTACGTGCGGATGGGTGTCGGCTCCAACACCAGTCTGCAGGGTGTCACCGTGATCGTGGAAAACACGATATCACTAACCAAGATCTTCCTACCTGACAACATACACTTCATGAGGGTGAAGTTCACCCCTGAACTATTATCAGAAAACCAGTTGGAAACTATATCGTAATAGTATTATAGCAATGACCAGTCATCGACCCAACGCTACACTTAACGACCTAGGGGACACGGAGGGATTTGATCAGCCTGGTGAGGAAGACACCTTGTACATCCTACACTTCAAAGACAACGTGTATAGGCGGGTGCCCCTAGCAGACTATTAAGAACCCAAATGGTTAATCAACATGACCCTCACCGCACCTTATATCTCACTAGACAAAGATGGCTATGTCTCTGAAATTAGGGAACAACGGTATCTTACTTGCGAAGTTTCATTCCGAAGCTTAAGTCAAATAAAGTCCAGCTATTAACGGATCACACGGGTAACATGTTATATTCAGAAAGAAATGGGTGTGATTTTGATGTACCCGATTCCCAATTGGATCTTAGTACTATGAAACCAGGTTCCACACTCTTCATAGAAGCATATCTCAAGCTAGTAGATCCTAAAGCGAGAAGTATATCCATTGTAATTGGGGTGGGAATAAAGTGGGACCCCATACACAATAACCAACGTTGTCGTATCGTCATACAACTGGACCCCGTGTAGCGGGTTCTATAAGCACCTTAGTAAGCCCACGGGGGTTTCGTGTGGAAATAAGGCCGCCTATTAGACTCTCGTATATTTACCTGTACTCTTTTCTATCACTTATAAGCCTCAAGTACACTGCGCGCAAGAATTAAATAGCACACAATTAAAAGATATGTTATAAAGTATATTATAGGCACACAGAATGGGGCTATACCCAGTCGTAGAGGAAGTAGCTGAAGACCCTGGAAACCGTGAGATCGGGTTCCGCTTGAAGACAGTTATGTGATGTAAAACGCCAACTAGAACAAGACCGCGACACGCGTAAAGCACTGTGTAAGAAGTACCATAGAGCTTTCAATATCGTGGACGGGCTGACACTGCCCTTATGGCAACCAGCATGGGGCTGGGAGCGGCAGGTGTTGGGTTGTTAGCTACCATCGTGGCTACCCCCGTAGTGCTAGGCATTGAAATAACAGCTGGGGTGGCAGGGGTGTTAGCGTTGGCGCTTAAGTTGACATCACGCAGACTGCATCGTAAGGCATTGAAACACGATGAGATCAGGGTTCTGGCCGAAGCAAAGCTGAACACAGTAAGTGAGCGTATTTCCACTGCACTCACTGACAGTAAGATCTCAGAGGAGGAGTTTAGTTCAATCCTCTCTGAACTCACAAAATATAACAAAATGAAACAAGAGATTCGATCCAAGTCTCGTAAGTCTGCTATCAGTGAGGACGAGAAAAAAAAGTACATAGAACAAGGGGTGAAAAAAGCCCAGCAAGCCTTTATTACAAACACCAAAGAGATCATAGGCGATTCACATTAAACTGTTTCATCGAGGTAAACGTGGAATAGTGTCATAGCGGCACGTTAGACGCAGCCCAGTATTGGATGGTGCAATCCCAGGATACCAACACACTCCAGCCATGTCCCCGGTGCGGCTAGGAGGTGCGTTCGTATCCCGCTATCGTCCCAAACTTTTTTATAGTAGGGGTAATGGTAGCAAGAGCTAAGGGTCCGACCAAAACCTTACATGTGAAATAAGGCTTTGCAGAGGCTTTGGTTGAAAGTGATCCAGAACCCCCATTGTATATACTACTGATACGATGGCATGTGACAATCAATAATATCTACTATGTAACCAGCAATCTCTCAAGTCTTACAATTTTAGAGCATCGATCACTTCCTACATGCACACGTGCAGCACATGAGGGAGGAAGTTGGAACTGACAAACAGGAAGTAGTTTTATAACAAACCAGTAAATTAGCACATCATGTCTGTTTTTGGTTACACGAAGGTAAACACTATCCTTGTGACTGTTATATTCATTATTGCAGTTGATTGTGTTTGTATTCACTGTCAGATGTGTTGTCTTTTGTTATTGTTGTATTTAGCACGATTGTTCTATTCACGATGTTGTTTTCACTGTTTCAGCTTAGGTTACATACCCACTCAATTATTGTCTCGCCTGTTCTCGAAAGAAGATTTGGCCAAGGTAATTATGTCGGCGCTGCCATATCTGGAGGGGAAACCGAGAATTAATAAGAGGAGTAACTTTGATGTCCACTTGTCACACATGGAGAACGAACCTTGCCATAGCCAGGTGTCATTCACGCAGAACCAACAGAATATTTAACCAATAATTCTCGTAATGATTCACTGTTGGTAAACGCCGCACTCAACAATATTGAAGCTGTATGGCGGCATACATATCGAGTCTGGACAAGAGAATGAGGATCGATCTAGTCGCCTCTTACGACAAGCGTGGGGTGCTGAATACCAATTCTATCCCGGATCTTCACCGGTCTCGTAATAAATGTAAATCAGGCTGGTTTTCGAAAATACATTTTCCTTCATAACAAGATGAAAAAACGACATTGTGTCTCTCACTGACTCACTCACGCTGTTCCAGATGGAGAGTGTCGCGACTAAAGCAACGCCAGTTGGTCGAGCGGGTACCGCACAAAAAAATGGTCACACTGCTGCCTTCCTAGCTTCAGAGAAAGCAGCCTTTGTGACTGGAGAATGTTTCAGGGCCGATGGTGGGTACACAATGACCACACCAGTCCGTTCATAAGGCAGATGGTCGCAAGGCGCCCATATGCCTCCATCAATCGCAGACTGTGTATCTGATGTGTACCACATAGGCTAGACAATTACCAAAGAAAATTTGACAGATGAGTTTTTTTATATGGTGCAAATTACCAACAAACAAATCCTGAAATATTACTAATACTGATACAGTGTCACTTAAGAAAATAAACAATAATATCGCTAATAGGGTTATAACACTACATCCCTCTTCTCCTTGGATGAAAGATTAGCTTTAAAACAAAATAAACATAAGAATGTTATCTTGACATAAATTATAAAATGATTTCTCAAATTAACGTTAGCGTCCATGTGTTAAACAATACTAAATTTACTACAGACCCCAAAAACATTCATTTAAAGTCTCTCAAAGAAAATCCCACTATATAAGAATTAGTCTGAACACATTACTATGCAAAAATCCTCTTTGCATTTGTTGTTTTGTTTTTCTTTACACAACAAAGTCATTAAATCTGGACGGAAGTCTCCTTTCTCGGGTTGGATATCTTCGTTCTTGGATTTGTTCATTCAAATCCATTTCTGGAACCAGTTCTTCAGGAACAGTGTCATTTGATGTCTCATCACTTGGCATGTCTGTGGGTTGGGAAGGAGCAGGTTTTGGAAGAAACTGCTGTTTCTTGTGACTTGTCTGTCCCCATTTAGCACTTATCATGGAACCCTTGGTTGAGGTTACAGTGTAAGGAATGGGTTCATAAGGCGTTTTAGACTTATGAATTGACATGTCTTTCAGCAGCACTGCATCTCCTTTCTGATAATCTGATGGTTTTACATACACTTTTCTGTCTGCATATGTTTTCATCTTTTGCTTTGCTTGGGCATCTTTCACTCTCATGTGCGCATCAGTCTCACTAACCTGACTGTCTATACTCGGTAATCGGTTTCTGAAGTTACGTTTGAAACAACGCAGTTGCAGGAGGAACACCAGTGGATGAGTGTGGTGTAGTTCTAATAAGATAACAAGAACTTGTACATCTCCTGTTTCCAATTGGAATGCCCTTGTACCAAACAACCTTTAATGGTTTTCTTTATGGTACGCATGAAACGTTCCGTTTCTGCATTTGCACGGAGCCACAAGGGTGTTATTTTCCGATGTTTGAATCCAGTGTTTTCTGCATAGACTTTGAAGTCATGGCTATTAAATGGAGGGCCATTGTCAGTCTTGAGCACATATATGGTATTCCAAATTCAGAGGAAAACCTTATCCAATCTTGGAATCACACTCCCTACTTAGCGATACTTGACATGATTTCCCACAACCACGTATCTCGAATATTCGTCTTGGATAACTAACAACTAGTCTCCAGTTTCGATTTGCCCCAAAATCCGCACTAAGTTCACGCCATGGTCCATCAGGTAGTTTTGACATTTTCACGTAACGATTCTCTTGATGGCGTTTCAGTTGCGATTTGACACGTTAGACAGTTTTTAACGAATTAGCTTTCCAACCATGTGATGCATGTTTGGGAACCACACCTTTTCTCGCAGTGTAAGCGATAGTGTCTTAACTTATTCCTTGGTGCCCAGTGTGGGCTAGGTCCACAGCGCTTTGCATAGGCTTTCAGGTAAGAACAATCTTTGTCTCTTTTAGCAGAACACTATCATTCACCACAAGCTCATTTTGACACTTCTTCAAAGTGTCATTACGCTGGAGATTAACGTCATTTGATGATTTCGATTTTAGTTCAGTTTTCACTGACTGGATGACTGCTTTATGAGTGTAGGATCATTGTCAATTGGCATTCACAACATTGATCTATAGTCATTGACTTGGGTACTGTTTTTAGATACCACATACTGAATGTATTCTTCAGCAACGGCTTCCTGTTCACTCTGCTGGAACATCTGAGAGGTGTCTACTCAGATAATCTGCTGGATTGTCAATGCACCTGGTCGATAGAAGTCATATTGCTGGATTCTCATCATCCAACGTTCAATTCTTGGTGGCAGATTTGCTTTTGGGTTTCCAAACAGGCTTGTCAATGGTTTATGATCAGTGTATATTGTGAAGGAAGAACCAAACACATAAATGTGAAAATGTTCACATGACCATGTGATAACAAGCGCTTCACGTTCGGTTTGAAATTACCGTTGTTCAGTCGGTGTGAGATCTACTAGCAAACTGAACTACTCCTCGGATTTCCTGGCTCTTCTGATTGACAGAGAACTGCACACAATCCGAACTGGACTGGCATCCACATACAGTTCTGTCTGAGCTCTTGGATTGAAGTAACTAAGGGTTGTAGCTTTCTTTGAGCTCTTCTTTCCAACTTGCAAAGAGCAGCTTCATGAGTGGCTGTCCACGACCAGGGTGTATCCTTATTGCGTGAGTTGACGCAGCTCATAGGTGAGTGTGGAATAGTTAGGAAACGTGTCTTGCACCACAGAAGTTTGCCATTCCCAGCAGACTCCTTACTTCCAGTATGGCATTCTTTGGTGATGGCATATGTCCATTATTGACAGTTTTGCTTCACTTGGTGTGATACCTTGACCACTGAACACATGTCAAAAGAACTCAATGGATGCTTGATTAAACACACATTTCTCTGGATTTAATGTCAGTCCCTTTTTCTCTCATGTGTTGGAAACAAACCTTTGAGGTTGCTATCATGGTCTTCAGGTCCACAACCATGAATGAGAATATCGTCACTGATATTGATAACACCAATTAGACCACTCACTGCTTGACGAATGGTTTTCTTGGAAAACTTCCAGCTGCACTGTTGATACCGAAATTCAAACGCTTGTAGCAGAAAGAGTCCAAGATGAGTAGCAAAGGTTGTGATGTATCGAGATTCTTCACTGAGTTCAAGTTAGTTTATAATGGCACCTTGGTTAAAGATTCAACTTGCTAAACACAGATGATCCAGCTAAAGTATGGTTGTAGGTTCATCAAGTGTGGGAGAATTGTGTCGTTCTCGTTTGATAGCAGTGTTTGGACACCTCATGTCAACACATACTCTCACTTTACCTGGACTGTTGGGCTTTGGAACTACTACCACTGGCAGAAACCCGGGCGTTGGTCCAACAGATTTCTCTATAACGTCATCACGTTCAAGATCTTTCTTGATTTGTTCTTCTATGTCTTTTTCTGACATGGAATGGGACACGTCTGTATTGTTGAGCAACTGGTGGAACTTCTTTGTCAATGTGAAGCTTGACCTGAACATCTTTCAGTTTCCTAAACCTGTAAAAGGTCAGAGTATTCGGCAATCAGCTCATCGTCCCCTTGATTTGACAGTTCTGACGGATTCATGAACTTGCAGAAGATTGAGTTCTTGTGACATCTTCCAACTTAGAAGACACTCTTCGTCATCAGGAACTTCACGCCAGATGTTTGTCGTCACTGTTGCTGTTTTTGACTTGATTGTTCCTTTGAATCGTCCTAATACTGGAACTGAATCTTTCTTCCCATATGGAATTATCTTGGTTTGACAGTTCCTTAGGGTTGGTTTTGGATTCAGCACTTTGAACACCTTTTTCAGAGATAAAGGTGTTTACACTTCGTCTCCAGAATCAGCTAACATACTAACACTCTTGCCATTAATGTTCAAAGTCAAATTTTGGAAATTGTGTAGAATTTCCTTTTTGCCACGATGGTATGCATAAACAAGGACTAACAACAGCAACACGATGGTATGCATAAACGGGACTACCAACAACACCACGGTGGTATGCATAAACAGGACTAACAACAACAACAAGATGGTATGCATAAACGGGACTAACAACAACACGATGGTATGCATAAACGGGACTAACAACAACACCACGATGGGTATGTATAAACGGGACTAACAACAACACGATGGTATGCATAAACGGGACTTACAGCAACACGATGGTATGCATAAACGGGACTAACAACAACAACACGATGGTATGCATAAATGGGACTAACAAAAGCAACATGATGTTATGCATAAGCGGGACTAACAACAACAACACGATGGTATGCATAAACTGGACTAGCAACAACACCCACGATGGTATGCATAAACGGGACTAACAACAACAAAGAGATAGTATGCATAAACGGGACTAACAACAACACAATGGTATGCATAAACTGGACTAACAACAACACCACGATGGTATGCATAAACGGGACTAACAACAACACGATGGTATGCATAAACGGGACTTACAGCAACACGATGGTATGCATAAACGGGACTAACAACAACAACACGATGGTATGCATAAATAGGACTAACAAAAAAGCAACATGATGTTATGCATAAACGGGACTAACAACAGCAACATGATGTTATGCATAAACAGGACTAACAACAACACGATGGTATGCATAAAAGGGACTAACAACAACATGATGGTATGCATAAACGGGACTAACAACAACACCACGATGGTATGCATAAACAGGATTAACAACAACACGATGGTATGCATAAACCGGGACTAACAACAACACCACGATGCTATGCATAAACGTGACTAACAACAACAACACGATGGGTATACGCATAAACGGGATTAACAACAACACCACGATAAGGTATGCATAAACGGGATTAACAACAACACGATGGTATGCATAAAACCGGGACTAACAACAACAACACGATGGTATGCATAAACGGGACTAAGAACAACACGATGGTATGCATAAATGGGACTAACAACAACAACACAATGGTATGCATAAAGCTGGACTAACAACAACACCACGATGGTATGCATAAACGGGATTAACAACATTAAAACGATGGTAATGCATAAACGGGACTAAAAACAACAACACGGTGGTATGCATACAAAACGGGACTAACAACAACAACACGATGGTATGCATAAACGGGACTAACAGCAACACGATGGTATGCATAAACGGGACTAACAACAACACCACGATGGTGTGCATAAACCAGGACTAACAACAGTAACACACGATGGTATGCATAAACGGGACTAACAACAACACCACGATAGTATGCATAAACGGGACTAACAACAACACCACGATGTTATGCATAAACGGGACTAACAACAACACCACGATGGTATGCATAAACGGGACTAACAACAACAAGATGGGTATACATAAAGCAGGGATTAACAACAACACCACGATGGTATGCATAAAGCAGGATTAACAACAACACGATGGTATGCATA